TGAATAGTATTCAATGTATAATTATACCAGAGTTTATTCTCTTACTGATAGACATCTGGATGTTTCCAGTTTTAATTGTTATTGAACATTATACTAGTCTTTATGTGACCTATGTTTTTATTTCTCTTGGGTAAATATCCCAGAGTGGAATGTTGGGTCATAAAATACGTGTATGTTTAATTTTAGAAAAAAAAAATCTAGTTAGCTTCCAAAGTGGTTGTACCATTCTACATTCCCTGCAAAACAGTAGGCGAGCCCCAATTGTTCCCCAACCTTAAAAACACTTGCTGCTGTCAGTCTTTTGAATTCTAGCCAGTCTAGAGGATATGTAGTGGCCTCTCATTAAGATTTTAACTTGTAGTGCTCTGATGACTAATTTCTGTCATGTTCTTATGGGCATTTGTGCATTTTCATTGGTAATAAATCTTCAAATCTTTTGCTTATTCATTTTACAAAAATGAATTATGTGCTATTATCCAAATGTAATCTACTGTGTTATAGGAATTTTTAATGAATCCTGGGCACATTTTGCTGGTATACAGTGCTCTGTCAGGTATGTGTTTGGGAAAATATTTGCTCCCAGTCTCTTGCTTGTCTGGTATACTTTCCTTACTGTGTTTTGGACAAAAGCTTTAAAATCTCATGAAGTCTAATTCATTGATTTTTTCATACATTATTTAATTTCTGTAACCTCTCTATGAAAACTTCTAAGAAATTATCTTCCTAATTAAATTTTCATTAGGCACCTATTAAAAGGAGTTTACATTTCCTAATCAACTCAATGGCTAAAGCATAGGTCTTTTGGGGATAGGTCAGAAAGAGTATTGATCAGAGAGAATTTGCTGAGTACTGGGAAGAAAGTCACCTAAGATTTTGATAAGTTTCATTAAATGGAATTTGAATACAGAATGTATTGTGGCACTAAAAATCTTCCATTCCTTCGTATAGATTTTATGTTAAATTAGCACATCATTCACAAAAATGTCATAGCTGTAGGTATACCCTCACTTTAAATAAAGATGAAGACTTCATTTTACATAAAAGGATTCACAGGTTAGAAGAAAGTCATCACAGGATTTATTCACACAAAAAAATGCTGTGAGTTAAAATTGCCATTGAAAAACATTGGAAACACTCTTCCAGACATTGGCCTAGGCAAAGTATTTATGAAGAAGACCCCAAAGGCGATCACAGCAGCAACAAAAATAAATAAATGGGACCTGATCAAATTAAAAGGCTTCTGCACAGCCAAATAAACTGTTATGAGAGGAAACAGACAACCTACAGAATGGGAGAAAATTTTCACAAGCTACACATCCAATAAAGGACTGATAACAAGAATCTATTTAGAACTCAAGAAAATCAGCAAGAAAAAAAATCAAACAACCCTATCAAAAAGTAGGCAAAGGACATGAACAGAAACTTTCAAAAAAGGACAGAATAATGGCCAACGAATGTATGAAAAAATGCTCAACATCTCTAATTATCAGGAAAATACAAATCACAACCACAATGAGACATCACTTATCTCCAGTGAGAATGGCCTTTATCAAAAAGTCCCAACAATAAATACAGACGTGGATGCAGAGAGATAGGAATACTCCTACACTGCTGGTGGGACGGCAAACTAGTAGAACCTCCATGGAAAGCAATATGGAGATACTTTAAAGTGATACAAGTAGATCTACCATTTGATCCAGCAATCCCATTACTGGGCATCTACCCAAAAGAACAAAAGACATTCTATAAAATCACATCTGCACTGGAATGTTTATAGCAGCACAATTCACAATTGCAAAGATGTGGAAACAACTGAAGTGCCCATCAATACATGAGTGGATTAATAAAATGTGGTATATGTATGCCACAGAGTACTATTCAGCTATAAGAAACAATGGCGATACAGCACCTCTTGTATTTTCCTGGATATGGAACCCATTCTACTAAGTGAAGTATCCCAAGAATGGAAAAATAAGCACCACATGTACTCACCAGCAAATTGTTACTAACTGATCTACACCTAAGTGGACATATAGGAATAACATTTACTGGGCATGGGGCAGATGGGAGTGGGGAGGAGGGGATGGATATATACATACATGAGTGCATTGCACACCATCTGAGGGATGGACATGCTTGAAGCTCTGACTCCAGGAGGGGAAGGTGGGGGAAAGGGAACACATGTAACCTAATCATTTGTACCCCCATAATATTCTCAAACTTAAAAAAATAAAAAATAAATGATTAAAAAAAACACCATTTAAAAATGAATGAATAAATTAATAATTGAATATCCATTAAATTTCTACGCATTATGAAAGATGCTTACAATATCCACTGAAGTAGTCATTAGCCACAATAGGTAAGATGGCCATTTTATTACATATTTGGCCTATTTCCCACTTCAAATTTCACTAATTTAACCAATAATATCTAAAAGAAACCAATATCTCATTTTTATAATCCCAATCTGGTTATCTTCCTTCATATCTAAAACTGGTGAGAAAAATGAGCTTATTCATGCACAGGCATCACTTTATGATAAAAAATAAGCAATATTTTTTGTACAACAACATTCATTTTTCAGTATTCTGATCTCTAATTGTTTCTACAAATATACTTTGCTAAAATATGTAACCTGCATATTTATGTACTATGTGATGTGAGATTCACTACTGAATCAGTTTTAAACCAACCAAGCTTACACATCAGCTCAAAAAGGCAGCATGATTACCACAAAGACGAGGTCTTATTAAATAACCTCAGGACAATAGTCATGTTTTCTATCACTAAACAGAGAATGCTGATACGAAAGGAAAACAAACAAAAAACACCCACACATGAAAAATGTGATCTGAAAACTCTTCATCTAATATAAAGTTCCAAGCACATATCAGATGTATAGCACAAAGCTTTGCACTTACGTGCTGGTTCTAGGCTGTTCTTGCACGGCTTTATCTGAGAGAAAAGATGGAACACTCCTCCTTCTTTCTACTAATGCTTTCATTTTCTGTTGAAGCAAAATAAATAAATGAAGACCACACAGTTCACAAAGTAAGTAAAAGTTGATTTGCAATCCAATAAAAGTTTTGTAGCCCCCATCTTTGCCTATCAAGGAACCTAATTTTATGCAGATAAAAGTGTAACATCTAAAATAGAAAAATTTTTTTAAATAGGATAGTAAGTGTAAAAAAAGTGGTATAGGCAGTGTTTTTTTCTTTTTATGGTCAGAGAATAAAGAGGTTAAATGTTGATCAGAGTATTTGGGATAGAGACCATCATCATTATTATTGTTGTTTACATGCCCAGCCCTATGCTAAAGGCTGGATTCTATGGATTCTCTAATTTATACCCCAAAGTGTCATCAAAGTAGGCACCAGCCTAATTCCTACGCAGGAGAGGTTCCAAACTGGCCTTCAAGGAAAGACAAGTAAGGGGAGGAAAACACAGTTAAAGCAAAGGCACAGAGACTAGTTCTCACATAAAAATTTAATGAACCTTAAAATTTTGTTTTAAATATAAATGTTTCCACATTTGAGAATCCCTCTTTCCAAATAGATTTCTCTTTTTGCTATAACTTAAAAAGAATAGTTTTCTTATGTTTTCCTAGGTTGTATATAAATATAATTCAGGTACTCTGTTTTCCAATGACCTACAATTTGTGGTAAAATGAGGTTTTATTCCACTTGAATTATTCAGATAATTACGCTATAAATACAACCTTATATAATTAAAACCACTAAAAACAGTCACTACATGAGTAAAACTAACAATATAGTCACTGTAACAGTATAGTCACAAACAGCCATGAGTGGAGTTTAGGCTGTCTCACCAAAGTCATTTTTCCTGCTATAGCCTCTCACCTTACCCTGGCCAGAGGTTTCACCCACTGTCTGGGAGCCTAGGCCAGCCAGGCATGGAAAGTGGATGTTGTTCCACTAGGAACCATATAAAACTAACTAGCTGGCTCAGTGTCGCTATTCCATCACATGATTGATAAAGGCAGTGCTTCGTAAAGGTCACCCTGACCACAAGGAAAAAAATGGCCAAATATGGGAATGTCTTATGCTGGGGCGCGGGAGGTGGAAGCTGAGGGGCACTGTTTGGTAGCATGTCCGAAAAGAAAAGAAATATTCAAATAGTTTCCATAGGATATAAATGCCACCAGGACCACAAGGGAAAAAAATGGCCAAATATCAGAATGTCTTATGCTGGGAAGGGGGGGAGGGAGAGGACATGGCTGGAAACACGAAAATCAATTCCCAAGAGAGCAACCCTTCCAAAGAAACTTGAGATTGGAATCCTCCCACTGCTCTCTGGCTGTTTATCCCAAAGGAACTCTAACAGTTGTTGCCGCATCCCTCCTCCCAGCTTTGACAGGGAGCAGGGGTGCTGCCCCCAAGGCCATGCCAACGCCAACGCCAGGATCCCTCCCCGTCCTCTGAGTCCCCAAGGCCAGAGGAGCAGCTCGGGGCGAGGCCCCCCAGCCCCCACGCCCTCCTCAGCTGTCCCACCGGCCACCCACCACAGCACACTGACCCCGCCCAGCCTGGGTCTACATTGAGTCAAGCCCCCGTGTTCCCATGGTGACCACAGTTAGCATCCCATGTCCGCACCTCCAACCCTGCCCACCACCTTGGAGACCCAGAGTCATCGGACCTTTGTACTTGGGCGCGGGACCCTCACATCCCCCCGCCCCGCCAAATTTACGCGGAGCGGCCACGCCTCAGGCCGGGCGAGGGGCTGACCCGGGGCGCAGCCCGGCCGCCCACCTGCGTCAGCGCCGGCTGTCCCTCAGGGGCGGACGCCGCCGGCCCTGACGACCTCTGTGCCGGCCCCGCCGAGGGGAAGTGGCGCCCAGGCCACCTCGGGGACCGAGGGCCGAGCGCGGATGGAACCGGTCCCGCCCCAGCCCGGGCGTCCCCCTCAGGGAGGAGCCGGGCTGCGGATCCCGCGGCTGAAGGAAGCCGGCTGGGAAGCTGCGGGGTCTTTCCTAGAGGAAGAAAACAATCCGAACTCTCCACAGGGAGAACTCGAGGGAACGCGAGAAGCACCGGAGCGACGCGGGAAACCGTGGCGCGGCGGTGGGTAAGTGCGGGAGAATGCGGGAGGTCCCGCAACGGACTCGCGGCCTCGAGCCGTGAGCGTTAAACCCCCGCGTCCTTCGCTTGGCGCGAAGCTGTGGAGAGCGCGGGGGCCGCGGCGGCGGAGGGCACGCGCCCAGCTCAACGGCCTCATCTTCCCGGTGCGGGTCCTCGAGCGATGGGGACTCTCCGAGGGCGCGCGGGCAGAGGCGGCCGCGTTCAGGCAGGGAGAGGACTCCGCGTGCAGGCGGCGCGTCTCCCCTACGGCCTAGCGCCTCCTTTCCGCTCTCCGCAGGGGCGCTGGAGGGATCACAGCCTGGACAGCCAGTCAGCGCCTCTGCCCGCCCCGCCTCGGGCCCGCCCCCTCGGTGCCCCGCCCCCACCATGGCCCCGCCCCCTGCAGCCCTCCTGTAGCCTTGGCCCTCCCACCAGCGATCTGGCACTGCTGGGTGCCTGGAGGAGAGTCTGGTGCATCAGCACATGCCTGGCCACCTGCCTGCCCACTCTATCCCTTTCCGTTCCCACTCCAGGAAGGGGCTGCTGCATGGTGTGCATGGCAGAGTGGTGGCGACCTGAGCTTGAGATGAGGAGTTGCAGTGATTTCCGCCGGGCTTTTGCTGGACTGCAGAAGGAAACCCTCTCCCTCCCTCCAATCCTGAGGCCTATGGATGTGATTGCACTTTGCAGAGTGCAGCGGGCTGTGCAGCTTTGGAAGCCTGCAACTCCTGACTCTTGTGCAATCTGGATGCTAGCCCGTCCAGCAATCCTAACTGGCTTCTGCAGCTCCTGGACAGCAGCCCCTACACACATTTGCACCATGCTATTTTGGTTACCATAACTTTGTAGTATAGTTTGAAGTCAGATAATGTGATGCCTCCAGATTTGTTAGTATCTCTTTCGATATTAAGGGGCTTTTTAAATTCCATATTAAATTTAAAATTGTTGTTTCTAATTCTGTGAAAATGACGTTGGTATTTGGATGGGAATTGCAGTGAATCTGTAAATCACTTTGGGCAATATGGGCATTTTAACTATATTAGTTCTGCAATCCATGAACATGTACTGTTTTTCCACATTTGTTTGTTTCATCAATTATTTCTTTCACCAGTGTTTTGTAGTTCTCCATGTGAAGACCTTTCACCTCTGTGGTTTATATTCCTAGGTATTTTAATTTTTTTGCCGCTATTGTAAATGTTATTGAGTTCTTCATTCGATTCTCAGTTTTGCTATTATTAGTATGTAGAAATGCTACTGATTTTGGACACTAATTTTGTAACCTAAGATGTTACTGAATTTATCAAACCTAGGAGTCCTTTGAAGGAGTCTTTAGGGTTTTCTAAATATAAGATCACATCATCAGCAAATAGGGATACTTTGACATCCTTTTTTTCCTATTTACATGCCATTTATTTCTTTCTGTTGCCTGATTCCTTTGGCTAGGAATCCCAGCACTATGTTAAATAGAAGTGGTGAAAGTAGGCATCCTTGTCTTGTTCCAATTCTCAGGGCAAATGCTTTCAACTTTTCTTCATTCAATATGATTTTGGCTGTGGGTTCTTCATATATGACTTTTATTACCTTAAGGTATGTTCCTTCTATGACTAGTTTGTTAAGGGTTTTTATCATGAATGGGTGTGTATGTTATCAAAAGATTTTTCTGCATCTATTGAGATGATCATATGCTTTTTGTTTTTAATTCTGTTTATTTGGTGAATCACATTTATTGATTTGTGTATATTAAACCATCCTTGCATCCCTGGAATGAAACTCACTGGATTGTAGTGAATTAGTTTTTTTGATGTGCTATTGGATTTGGTTTCCTAGTATTTTCTTAAGAGTTTTTACATCTATGTTCAGGAAGGATATTGATCTGTAGTTTTGTTGTTGTTGTTTCTTTTCCTGGCTTTGATGTCAGGGTGATACTGGCTTTGTAGAATGAGTTAAGGAGCATTCCCTCTTTCTCCATGTTATGGAACAATTTCAGTAGGATAGGTACCATTTCTTTGTAGGTCTAGTATAATTCAGCTGTGAATCTGTCTTGTACTGGGACTTTTTTATTTGGGGGAGATTTTTATTGCTGATTCAATCTCACAACTCATTATTGGTCTGTTCAGGATTTCTATTTCTTCTTGATTGAAGCTTGGACTGTTGTGTGTTTCCAGAAATTCATCCATTTCCTCTAGATTTCTAGTTTGTGTGTATAGAAGTGTTAATAGTAGTCTTGGGTGATCTTTTGTATTTCTTTGGTATCACTTGTAATGTTTCCTTTTTTTTTTAATTTTTTTTTATTTTTGCATATTATAGGGGTACAGATTTTAAGGTTTCAATAAATGCCCATTTCGCAGGCAACACTCCTACACTTCTGGTGGGACTGCAAACTAGTTCAACTCTGTGGAACAATAAGGAGATCAGCTTAAGCGATACAAATGAATCTACCATTGTTGATCCAGCCAATCGCGCATTGCTGGGCAATCTCCGCAAATGATTCCAATTGACACTCTCAAACGACACCTGCATTGAAGCTGTTTATAGCAGCACAATTCATAATCTGAAGGCTCGTTGGAAACCAGCCCAAGTGCCGCATCGAATCCAAGAATAGATTAATAAAATGTGGTATATGTATAACCAATGGTACTTTCAGCTCTAATAGAAACAACGGTCTGCTCTAGCACTTTATATTTTCTCCTGGCGTTTAAGCTGATACCCATGACGTAGGCTAAGGAAGTAATCCCAAAATTGAATAACAACCACCAGATATATTCTCCCAGCAAACCGGTATTACTGAGTAGTCACTCTAAGTTGTGATCATCTATCTAGTGTTACCTTTACAGTAACTAGGGTATTGCGGCAGTGGGAGGGGGAGTGGGGCCGGGTTTTCAAACCATACATAGATGATGAATGTGCACCACATCTGGCGGATGGCATGATGGAGACTCGACTTTTGGGGAAAGGGGG